TCACAGCCAGGAGCCAGTTTTGGTGAGGTCAGGCCCTGGCTCAGGGCGGGGCGCACCTGCAGGAGTCCAGGCCGGGGAGAGTGGGGGCACGCGGTCTGTGTGGGTATCCCGCAGCGGGCCGTGAGATACACAGTAAGCTGCCAAGTGTGACTATTTCCGAGGAGGACTCAGTGAACTCGTGCATTTTCTGTGCGTTAGTATCCAAATTCTTACTTGAGAGGATCAAAGTATGTATTTAGTATCCAGCACATAAGACTTCATTCTGGTTTTCGTGGACAAACACAGAGGCATGAGCGCGTCCCCTGCTAACAACAGCAACTTCGCAGGACAGCCCCCTGGGACCAGCGGGTTTGCCCCGTAGTGCCCGAACACCGTCTGCGACTGCTGGGTCCACTTCTGTGGACTCGTTCCTCTGAGGCCGTGTCTGCTCTGCTCGGTTCTCTTCTGTCCGCAGGTTCGGAGAGTGAAAGACCCACAAGGACAGGGACCTGGCCTGTGTCATCCACACCCACGTCCACGCCCCACGGACCCAGGCAGGGTCTCAGAGCGGGACCCGATACGACGCAGCCTCGTGCTGCCGTGAATGATCACGCCGGGGTCCCTTTATTACTTGAGGTGGGAAGATTTCCTAAGACCACGTGTGGGGGCTCCTCCCCTGCTGGGTTCGCTGCGTCCTCCATGTTCACACACGTGGAGTAAGGCTTCCTCAGGGCAAGTGGGGCATCGAACCCTGGACCACCCCCTGCCCCCTCCACCAGCCCTGGGGTGCCCTCGAACACATTTCTGGGGAGCCGGGTGAACTGTGGCCTGACCGGGCTCACCGCCCCCGGTCTGCTCTGACCCTGACCACAGGCCCGGTGGGTCGGTTCCCTCCCACGACAGGGGACGCAGAAGAGGCAAGCGTCCGGGTATGTGTGTGGGGAACTCTGTGCGCGCCCAGAGGCCATCAGCCCCAGGAATCTGGATTCTTCCTGTCTTGGGTCATCGTAATTGCTCTTTTCTGGGAAACTTGGAATGTTGGTGTTTGACGAAATTCATGTTACTTATTTAAGGTAAATGTTGAAACTTTCCATTTCATAATAAAGAAAAAGCTAGATGTATTCTCACCAGCCATTAAGGGAACCACAAAGGACTTGCTGATATGTTGTTTCAAAGAAATGTTTTTTAAGTCATGTTTTGGCAAGAAATGTAATACCTACTTCTGGGTTTTGAGCTCTTCTTGCCTAAGACTTCTGGACTTAAAATGTTGAAGACACGACTTCAGTTTAAAAGTAGGAAAATACACAAAACACCAGGATAAGATTAATACTCCATAATTTAGTGTTATTAAAATATGCAAAACTTGTAGTTTATTAAAGTACAAGGGAAATCCAGACACAAAATAAACTCAAAACGGCGTCGGCAATTCCTCAAGTGATTCTCAAAAAAGAAAAAGTGAAAAACAAAGAGAAGGGCTTAAACTTTCAAATCCTGGTGGAGGAGAGATTGGCGGGGTCTCTGAAACCCCAGGAAGGCCCTGATAAAGCGTGAGTTTGGGGAGCGGTGGGAGCACTCAGTGGAGGACTGGGAGAGAAGCTAGACGGCCCCCCCAATCCCGTGTGTGTCCAGGGGGGCGCTGGAGATCTGCGCACCTGCCGGGCTCCAGTTCCACAGATGACAAAGCGGGGTTCCCGGCGCCCAGGGACAGAGCCGCCTCGGGAAGGACCGGCTGGGCTTTGTGTCCGAAAGCCTTGCTTGTCATCACGAAGCTGTGCCTGCTTTTTACAAAAGTCAACTTGTGCTCCTGCATGAAAGGTTTGTGTTTTTTTCAAGAGACAGCTTATAAAATAACATCCTGAGAGTCACAGGGTCAAAGTTCGGGGTCCTGGTTCCCTCACCCCGTCGCTTCACAGCTCCCGGGCGCTTCTGTCCGGGCCCTCGGTTGCAGGAAGGGTAACTCATTTGTTGTGAGAACTGAGTGAGAAGCTAAGTAACGTCTGCTTTTCCTTTTTATAATGGAATCGTGTTTTTAGTTTAATTCCACTACATCCGAAATGTATTTTGATGGCGATTTCTTTTTCGTCGCCTTGCCGCCGAGCACAAGGAGCCACAGGAGGCTGGGGAAGGCGACAGGAGTAAGAGGCAGGGAACTCGGAGACCCCACGCCTCCCGCCGGCCCCTGCGAACGCCCAGCAGGAACTTCTCTGCCCTCCGGCCCCCACCGATCCTGCGTCAGGATGGAGATCAGGAGGACGCTGTGGTGGTGCCCCCCATGGGGAGGGGGACAGATGGCCAGCGTCCCCTGGCTTGGGGACGTCCTGTCTGCTCACTTTTCCTCGGCCCGGGGCCCAGGCTGACCCGCACCCTCACGCTCCATTTCCGGCCAAAGACCCAGTGACCTGATCTGACCCCCTGAGTCTGAGGGGGCTTCTCCCCTCCTCCCCACTGTCTGTTCCTTCAGACCCGCAGGGGAAGGGCCTGAGCTCCGCCTCCAGCCCACGGGGCTCTGTTCGGCCTCATGGCCTCAGGGACCAGCCTGCGGGGCCCAGGGGGAGGCCGTGCCACACAGACCCTGCAGGACAGAGGGGGCGCGTGCGGTGGGGGTCCAGCTCCAGGCCCTGCACCGAGTCCCACCCAGTCTTGCGAGGGTCTTGAACCCTTCAAATCAGTCAAATCTGTCGAAACAAAATCCTCATATCCTGATGCTCCAGAAGCAGCCGTGCTCACATCGGGGTTCAGAACGGGGCTCGGCATGAGATGGGGAGACAGCATAGCGGCAACAGGGACAGCGCGGGGCCCCTCCCCTGCCCCTGCAGGCCGCCCCTCCCCCTCTGCACCTGCAGGCCGCACCTCCCTGCCCCCCCACCCACTGCAGGCCACCCCTCCAGGAGCAGGGCCCCTTCCCAGAAACAGACTCGGGAGTCCCAGGTACAACTCGAATGACGAGCCCCCAGAAGAGGCCTCCGGGCCGGGCCTGCGCGCAGCCAGTCTTTGGGATGAAAGCACAGATGCGCAGTTTAGACCGCAGGGCCCGCTGCCTATGCTACCGTGTCCGGGGCTCCGGGGTGGACACAGCTGCTCCACAGGATGTAAACGGCTGCACTTGCCCTGTGCCGCCCGGAGCTGCCCGGTCTCCACCATCCCCTCGGACCTGCTCTGTGTGACCCGTCCGTCTGTCCCTCCTGCCTCACCTACAGACAGCCTCTGGTGCTGACTGCCTGTCAGCCCACAGGCAAACGCGGCCCAGGGCGGGGGATGGGGCCGGGTTTGCACAGGAGCCGCCTGGCTCCTCCCACAGCCTGGGCCGCCCAGGGACCCACGCTCTGCGTGTTAATCCTCCCTCACTTCCGAGCTCCCGTCCAGCTTCCCAGAACCACCTCCAAAATAAATGACCTGATCCCACGCCTGTGGCCACGCTCTGCTTTAGGGGAACCAAGTGAAGACAAAGTCCGGTTACAAATTCTCCTGGGTGATTAGAGAATGAACCCCAGGAAACTCATCTCTTGTTATCATCAAAGCTGTAACCACCAATCTCTGATAAGCATCACGCCTGACGGCCTTGGTCCTTGGAGGACGGAGCCGGAGCCGTCTGGGCGTTTCTAGGCTTCCCAGGAAGCCCTCTGGCCGGGCCTCCCTCCCCGCCGCCCCTCTGTCTGGGCTCCAAGGCTGACTCTCCTTTTCCCAACAGCGCAGCCTTCTCTTCGCAACCCAGCCTGCAGAGGGGCACATCGAAGCTTTCAAAAATGCATCCATTTGGGGCGCCTGGGTGGCGCAGTCGGTTAAGCGTCCGACTTCAGCCAGGTCACCATCTCGCGGTCCGTGAGTTCGAGCCCCGCGTCGGGCTCTGGGCTGATGGCTCGGACCCTGGAGCCTGTTTCCGATTCTGTGTCTCCCTCTCTCTCTGCCCCTCCCCCGTTCATGCTCTGTCTCTCTCTGTCCCAAAAATAAATAAAACGTTGAAAAAAAAAATTAAAAAAAAAAAACAAAAACGCATCCATTTGGGAGGTCACACCCAGGGTGTTTTGATTCGAATTCGGGTGTTCCTGAGACCCTCTGCCTCATTCGGGGTTGCTGCCCACAGCCTCACTGCCCCAGGCTGGCTGCTCCCGGGGTCCCGCCTTGCGTCCCCCCTGTGAGGGCTACCGACTCCCCTGCTCACACCTGCCCAGGTCTGGCCCTGGGGACGCAGAGAGGAGCCCGGAGCCCGGAGCCCCGCAGAGTCCTGAGCTCACTCCCTCCTCCTCCCCACACTTCCTCGGGGCCTCTGCAACCTTAGGGATGTTCTCCTTGTGAAGAGGCTCCATTACAGGTACAGGGCTGTCTGTGAAGCCCGCGGTGGGTGAGCGGCTCCGGGAGCACCAAGCCTGGGCACACCCGTCCCGTCCCGACCACAATACCGAGGGCTGGAGCGCTTCCCCTCTGTCGGGGATTCTGTCCCAAGTACTTATAACTGGAGCTTAGACTCTCTGGTCAGACGCGGGGTGTGTGAGGGGCGGGACAAAGGCGAAGGCTTGCTCCTGTGGCTGGCACGTCTGCCTGGGGACAGGGCCCAGGGTCTCCAAGCAGTGTCTGGTCACACCCGCCTGAGGCGTGAGGCTGGGGCCTGTGAGCAAAGCGCCTTCTGTCCTGACTTTCCAATCGCCAATGTGCATGTGACACCTTTCCTGGGAGACAGGGCCAAGCACAGGCTCTGTGATATCCCCTCGGGCAGGAGCCAGAGCAGGGAGGGACTCCTGGGCCCCACCAGGAGTGTGCCTGCCCCTCTGTTCCCGCCATGTGTGCGGCGAACACGTTTGTGACCCGGCGGCCTCCCCTCCCGTCTCGCCTCGTGCAACGTAACCCGATGGGGACAGGCAGCCGGTGACCTCCATGGCCCGCTCCTCCACCTCGTCCAGCAGTGGCCTTGGGGGGTCCTCTCTCCGAGGACCCCACTGGCATCTTACGAAATTCCCAACGTAGTTGTTTGTCGACCCTTGGAGGTCACAGAGATCTCTGGGCAACACGGAACACCGCGGACTCACCGGTCGGAAGCACAGCAGGTGCACGTGTCCCTCATCTTTCACGGCGGTTTTTGGGGAGTCTGGGAGTCCCTGTGGCAGCAAGACCCGTGGCTCACGTGGCACAGCTGGGGTCCGCGGCAGGGGCAGGGCTGCACGGGGACAGAGGCTGGGCCACAGAGACTCAGCTGCGTGCCCAGCGGTCCCCCCCACCCCGATGTGGGGCTAAGCCTCCGTTAACTCCTCACTCGGTGGATCTACCCCACTCCCCCCACACTGTCTGCGCCCACACGGAGGGGCAGAGCCACCCCGGTCACTGTGGCCTTGTCTCCCTTCCTCTGAGGGAGGCTCAGGGCCCAGAGGAACGAGGCTCAGGCTGTAAGTCACAGTCAGAGATCAGGTCACAGACACGACTCCGGAGCCCGTTCCCACCACTAAGTCCGTTTTCTCTTTCCTCCCACGTCAGGATCCCACCACGATTAGTGGCACTGAGGAGGCCTGGTGGGAACTGGGACCAGGAAACAGGGCAAAGCCACAAGCCGCGGGGCACACGGCCCGGCGCCGACGCGTCCGTGATCACCTGAAGCCTTGATCCCCACAAAGTAAGCGTCCTGAGATCAGTTTGAGTTACCGGTCTGGCTCATGGACTACAGTTAGATGTGTGTTCCTCAGTTTCCTTTTTCTCATTGAGGTGAAATTCAAAATTAGCTGCTGTAAAGTGCACAACTCACTGGGGTTTAGAGCTGTCACCAGGTTGTAAAACCATCACTTCTATCTGGTTCCAAAAACGTCACCACCCCAAATGACACTTCTGTGCCCACTGAGCAAGCAGCCCCATCCCCCACTTCACGGCCCTGTGGCCACTCATATCTGCTCCGTGTCTCCGGCGACTTTGCTAATCTGAATTTTTTTTTTTTTTTTTTACTTTTTTACATTTATTTATCTCTTTTGAGAGAGAGAGAGAGAGTGAGAGCGCAGGGGAGGGGCAGAGAGAGGGGGAGAGAGAGAATCCCAAGCAGGCTCTGCGCTGTCAGCACAGAGCCCGACGCGGGGCTCCATCCCATGAATTGTGAGGTCATGACCTGAGCTGAAACCCAGAGTCGGATGCTTAACCGACTGGGCCCCCAGGGGCCCCCTGAGTATTTTAAATGAAGGGAATTAATTGTACGACATGTAACCTTCTGTCTGGTTTCTTTCCATTACTCAGATTCATGCACATTCAGCATGTCTGGGCTGCCTCGTCTTATGGATGAACAACAGCATTTTACATTCGGTTCGCCACCTTTCGTTTACCTTCCACCTGCTGAAGGACATTTGCATTGTTTCCACTGTTGGACCACTGTGGGCAGTGCGTTAAGAACATTCAGGTACCAGTATCGGTCTGAGCTTCTGTTTCTACGTCCTTAGGGTGTATGTCTGGGCTCATGCGGTATCTCCACGGTCAACCTTTGGAAGAACCGCCATGGTTTTCCCGCAACAACTGATCCATTTTTTGTCCAACCAGCCATTGGTCCCAATATCCACGTCCTTGCTAATTAACACTCATCTTTCTTTCATTGTAACCATCCTGGCGGGTGTCAGGCGGCTTTGACTCGCATCTCCTCTCCCTGGCGACCAGTGACGTTGGGCACTCTTCACCTGCTTATTGGCCATTTGCTCATCTTTGGAGAAATGTCTACCCAAGTGTGCTGTTCATTTTTTAATGGAGTTTTGTTTTGTTTTGTTTTCTTGTTTTTTCTGCCTTTGTTGCTGTTGGGTTGTAAGGGTTCTTTATGGATTCTTAGACTCCGTCAGATCTACGATTTGTAAATACTTTCTCCCATTAGTGATTTGTCTTTTTTTTTTTTTTTTTTTTTCAACGTTTATTTATTTTTGGGACAGAGAGAGACAGAGCATGAACGGGGGAGGGGCAGAGAGAGAGGGAGACACAGAATCGGAAACAGGCTCCAGGCTCTGAGCCATCAGCCCAGAGCCCGACGCGGGGCTCGAACTCACGGACCGCGAGATCGTGACCTGGCTGAAGTCGGACGCTTAACCGACTGCGCCACCCAGACGCCCCATTGTGATTTGTCTTTTTACTTCTCTGATACACAAATGTTTTTCATTTGGGGAGAGTCCACTTTGTCCACTGTTTGCTCCGCTACTCAAGCTTCTTTGTGTCAGACTTAGGAATCCGTTGCCAAATTCACAGTTGTGAACATTTACCTGTGTTTTTATCTGAGATTTTTGTGATCGTAGCTCTTCGAGTTAGGTGGCTGATTCATTTTAAGTTCATTTTTTGTATGTCATGGGAGATGAGGGACAACTTTATTCTTTTACATGTGAAATCCAGTGTCCCTGATTGGAGATTATTCCTTCCTCACCGGGTGGTCTTGGAACTCTTTTTGAAAATCATCTGGACTCTCTTCTATCTGTCTTTGGCAGTTTTGAACACAGCAGCTTTGTACCAAGTCTTAAAATCAGAAAATGTGACTTCTCAGCTTTCTTGTCACTCTGAAATAGTGTTTTGGCTGTTTGGAGCCCTTGCCATCCCTTAGGAATGTGAGGTTCCGCTTTTCCATTTCTGCAAATCGGGTTGTAAGGACTTTGATGGAACAACGCTGAGTCTGTAGGCCCAGGGTTGCTGGCTCTGCCCCACGATAACCCTTCCCATCTGTAAACGTGATGGGTCTTTCCACTTATGTAGGTGGGTGTTAGTCTCTTTCAGCGACATTATCCAGTTTTATTCCACTTTCACCTCTTTGGTTGAGTTTATTTCTACGAATTTTGTTGCTTTTGATGCTTTTGTAAGCCGGATGGTTTTCTTCATTCCCTTTTCGGATTATGTATCGCAGGGAGGTCGAAACACGCCCGGCGTCACTCTTCAACTGCTGAGCTCCCCACTGTTTCCTCCGTGTGGGCACACAATTGATATAAACACTGTCATTAAATTTAAGGTGTACTCCCATTTTTTTAATGTCTGAAAGTTACAGCACTAGAAGAGAAAGATCTTGGGAATTAAAAAAGGCTGTTATCTTAAAAAGTCCTTTACCTGAAATATTTGGTCATTCTAGCAACAGGTTTCAGGATGGTCGGGTGTCGTATGACATGCAAAAGCCCAAAGGGTAGTGAGCTGTACAAACGCTGCCAGGCTAGGCTGTTTGAGCGTGTTTCTTTGTCCCCTTGCCTGGGGCGAGCCTCAGTCTGCGGTCCCCACCCCTGCTCTGAGCTGGCTCAGGGCCCACCAGGTGAGGGCTGATTCTCCCCAAACACAAGAGAGAAACTCCAAAATCTGATGGAATCCTCCTTCTGTGAATCCCCTGCCTCCTCCTTCCAGAGTTAGCGGGAAACCTGTCCCTGAATGCGACGATTCTTACCTGCAAGGAAGCAACTTCTAAGATTATTCCTCACGGAGAAGTTGTTTCTGTAAGGTACACATTTACTGCATGCATAATATTTTGTTAATGTTTATTTATTTTTGAGAGAGAGATAGAGAGACAGAGCGTGAGTGGGGAGGGGCAGAGAGTGAGGGAGACAGAGTCCGAAGCAGGCTCCAGGCTCCGAGCTGTCAGCACAGGGCCTGACGCGAGGCTCGAACACACAAACCATGAGATCATGACCTGAGCCGAAGTCGGACGCTTAACCGACTAAGCCACCCAGACGCCCCTAACGTTTTTTATTTTTGAGAGAGAGAGGGGAGGGGGGGAGGGGCAGAGAGAGGGGGAGACACAGAGTCCGAAGCAGGCTCCAGGCTCCGAGCTGTCAGCACAGAGCCCGACACAGGGCTCGAATCATGCTTAACTGACTGAGCCACCCAGGTACCCCAACTGTGTGCATAATATTAAATACAACCTTAAATATAGATCTTTAAATATTCCATATTAAATATATAATAATGTATTTAATATATAGGTCCTGTTTAACAATGCAGGAACAATAGGTCTTTGTTCCAGAAAGTCATATTAAAAAGAAAAATAATTCCAGTGTTAATCGTGTTAATAATTCCACTGTGCGTTGTGTCCCAACCCAGAACAACTGAAAAATTTTCACAAATAGAAAAATACATGCACAGAATGATAAAACAAATGTATACAAATAATACAACTTGGAAGTAAATAAATAGTGTGTAAAATAAAGCGTAATCCAGTTTTATCATCCTAACACCCTTTGGTCTTTTTGCTCGACTTTTCTTTTCCAAACCCTTCGTATGCTCACAGTTAACCTGCAGTCACACTGTCCTTGCGACATGCCATCACAGCACGGAACCCCGGGGGCGGAGTGAGGGCTGAGCCCCGGTGTGTCCCGGGGGCCTCGGGTGCGGCCTGGGAGCCAAGGGGACAAGGTGGGCGCGTCCCAGGGGCCTCAGGGACGAGGCAGGTGTGACCCGCGGGCAGCAGGGAGCCCTCCCCCTCGCCCCTCTGGGGCAGCTGGTCCCACCACCCGGGTCCACCCACGTGCGGTCATTTGACCTAGACGTGCTCCTGGCGGTGCCCAGACCGAAGCCGCCTCGTCACGGCGTATTCCGAGTGTGTCTTGCCTGAAGGCTGTGGTGTCGAAACATCACTTCTCCTAAAGCGTGTGATGTGCTTGGGGGGGAAAGGTCGCGCTCTGGAGAAGGCAGGATCTGGAAACGCCGAGTTTTCGGGGCCGCCGTGCCGGGAGACGTGAGCTGGACGCCGCTCGGCGAGGCCGGCTCGTGACTACCGGGCCCGTGACCACCGAGGGGCCGGCCCGCCTCCGTCCGCAGGGAAGCCTGGCAGGTAGGGACCCCGTGGAGGGACAGGGCTGCCCACGCTGTGTGAGGACAGTGAGGCTCAGCCGGCGGCCGTGGGCTGACGCTTGGCAGGAACGCCCCACGGCTTCCCCGGAGCAGATGGCGCCGCGCGGCGCTGGCCACGGCTACTCTGGTCCCCAGACCGCACCTTGGCTGCCAAGTCGTTCCCCTGGGAGCAGGGCTCGGCCAGGCCCGGGCTGTGCCCAGAGTACTGGGATGTTCCCGCCTCCGCGGGATTCCAGGCTGCGGCTCAGTCGGATCTCTTTGAGGGTCTTTCTGTTCTGCGCAGAGCCCTACCCGGCAGGTGCGGGGTCCACGCCGCAGGCCCCCAGCCCAGGGCCTGGGCGTGCTGGGTGGCCGTCCGTTCCCATCCTGCCGTCCCTGCCAAAAACACCGTGCTGTGTAACTCAGACTAACTGAGAAAGACCTGCCTGAGATGTTGAAACCCACAGAAACCCCAGAAGGGACCCCATGTAACCTACAGTTGGTGATGCCGGCTGCCGGTGATGGCCAAGGGCCGGACTCTGTCCTGGGACCATCTCCCCTCCCCGGCACTAACAGACCCCGTTCCAGATCCTTGTGAGAGGCTGCTGCACTGCCTCCTCCAGGGCTCCTGCGCCAGTGAAGGCGTGTGCACACGGCACCCGGCTCTGGGTCCAGTGTTCAGTGGACCCGGCTCTGGGTCCAGCATTCACGGCACCGGGGGCTAAGCCCACCCCACATCCATGCAGCTGCAGCTTTTTCCGGAACAAACAAGATTGGGGGCATGCGGGTTACATTTGTGGGAACCCTGCCCAGAAGGAAAAGAGGACTACAGAGTGGGACACGAAATGTGTCCTGTTCCAGGGGCGCCGCGTTCCTGTCGGTCAGTCGGTCAGTCCTGGGAGAGGATGGCCCCGGGGTCCATCACACACTTCTACTTGCTATAAATCACACAGAAATAATGTCCGGAGAGACGCGTCTCACACTCCCATCCGCCTCTCGAGCGTCGTCCTGAAGCGTGTCCAGTTGTGTCTTTGGAAAAATGTGCATGACGCTCCCTCCAGTAGCCACCACGGCCCAACCCGAATCACTTCCCTAATTGACTTCTCTCTCAATTTGCCAAAGGCTCCCGTTTGAGGTGCAGGGGCCCCGCGGTCCCCCCGCTTTATGTCACAGAATCCCCCCTGCGCCCCCAGTTCGAAGCAGGGCTTTCCTGCCCCCGATGACTGGTCCCGTGCCGTGTAGCTCCGGCGTGTGACTCGTTCCTGCTTCTTTCTGCCAAACGCCCGTGTTCCCCCCCATATCTGACTCCGACGTAACAGAAACCCAAGGCCGCTGGGAACCCAGAGAAAGCCCACCACCCTCCCGCTGCGTGCCGGCTTGTCTGTGTCTCTGCCGCCGGCCCCGGTGCGCCTCCGTCCCTGGTTTGGAACGAGTACAGCTCGCACGGGTCCCGCTCGCATTAACGGGGCGTTTCCCGGGCGGTCAGTGCTCCTCTGAGTCCCTTCGGGGACGCCCCCCGAAACTCGCCGCACAGCTCGAGCCGCAGGCGGGCAGGGGCACCTACTGGCCGTGTCCTGCTCGGCTGTGGGGCTGCCCCACACGGGGTTTCCTTCTCCACGACGACCCCAAACCTACACCTTAACCTCGGTGGGGGGGGTGGGGGCACAGCTGGGACCTGCAGACAAACGGGCTCACGTTGAGGGGAGCAACACGTCACCCCCTCCCTGTTGGGGTATGTCTCCCTTCCCCCCAGCAGGAACCCTGCTAATTCTTCTTAAAAAAGGGAAAGAGATTCGTTTATAGAAAACCTTTTTACAATTTATTTCCTGTTATTAATCTTTAAAGTATAAAAATGAGGCTGCAGCTAGATAAAAGCAGGGTTTCAGTGGTGAGATTCTGACCATGTGAACAAATAAATAAATATTTACAGTCTTTGGCAAAACAAATGGTTTCATCAATCTGGAAGAGAAGTTTGTTCAAAAAAAAAAACATAAATAATTTACCGAAAAAATATGGTACATTCTAAATATTCACATCATCATCGCACAGCACTGCGTTGTTCGTCCGAGCGACAGCCACACGGACACCTGTGCACTCTCCACGGCCGTTACATTTAGTCCAGTTCCCAAACCCCCGCCGTCTGGGAACACAGCTCCAAAAACTAAGTGGAAAGTGCAGCAAAACAAAAAGTCAACCTCAAAGGAAGCGACAAACACAACTTTATCAAATGAAATGTGCAAGTTAGGACAAGAGTTATGGATCCTCTGTATTCCACACTATGGAATCGAGATAGAAACATAGAAACAAGATCACTATGAACAGAAAGGGGAGAAAGATTCGCCCGCATCAGACAAGTAAGACAAACTTCTCTTATTAAACCCCTTATGTGGAGGGAGATTAATATTTCCTGCAGAAAGAACATGCAATTTAAAGAGAAAACAAAAAACCAAAAACAAAAACAAAAAAAAAAAACAAAAAATCGTGTATATCATTGTATGACTGATTAACAGGTGTGTCTGGCAAGGCTTGATGCTGATTTTTCTTCAGCCTTTAAGGTTTCAAATCCTACGTACAGCAGAGAACAGGGGCACATACTGGATTAGTGCGTTGGCAACAGTATAAATTAAGGTTCCTTTATCAAGTCTTCGTCATCATTTATTTATTCCCCTTCATTTGAAACACGCTTTGGACAACAGCATACTGTAAAGCTTGTATCTCGGCAGGAAGGTATTTCCTTGTAACAACATCTTTGTATCATATGTGTGCTCTACGTGTATCCCTAGAAATCATGCTATACGTGTGTTACTTGACACATTTAAAATAAGTTATGGTGAATGAAGCTGCATCCTAAAGTCATTTAATAAATATTAGCATTTCTAACTGGAACCTTAATGAAAAGTGTTGCCAAACTAGGTAAGCAACTTTTGCAGAGTTGCAAAGCCCAGAGGAGGAATTAGATGCTAAAGTGCTCTTGCTGACGCATGGTCTGGAGCCGGGCCCCGGAAAAGACTCACGCAGAGACCCTGGTGCTCAGAGAGCAGAACCAAGGGACACGCGGAGCTCCCTCCAGCCCGCCGCGGTGGGATCGCCCACTTCTCTCCGCTAACTTCACCAACGGAGGCCAAGTACAGGACTTCGGACTCCACCGCTGTGGGGAGGGGGGGACAGTGGGGGAAGGGGCTTCCGTTTGTCCTCGTGACCACCGCTCAAGTTCCAGTTAGAGAGCCGGCCCCCCACGTCGGACGAGGTCTCCCGACCTCTGCTACCAGCACGACTCCAGACTCCGTGAACCCGACAGGACTGGCTGCTGTGGGACAGCTCGGACCCAAGAGTGGAAATGGCTTTAAGCACTGAAAGTCGTGCAGCGATATTTTTTTCTGCTTAATTTATGATAATGGCTTGCGCACAATATTCCCTTCAACTCCATATACACATAAATACAGTAAGTAATTACATTTTATATGTAAACGTCATTCTTTTTAAACAAACAAGAAGCGATGTAATGTCGAGCTCAATTGTCACTGCACGGAGTCTCCTGCATCATCAAGCTGTCTTCTGGGCCGGACGTTCACCTGTGGGGCCCACGACCAGTCCCCTCTGAAGGCGCTTGGGCGTGGGGTTGATGTCGGTGAAGGACCCCCAGCGTCAGGGTCAAGGACGGGAGCTGCTGCTAAAGAGAGCGAAGCCGGAAGCACCAGCACAGACTAGGGGTCTAGGCAACAGCGTCTACAGTACGTTTCTGGAAATGCAGCCGGTCTTGTTTAGACATCTACAAAATAAACAATACACAGAACGAGGGTGGCTGCACCATGGGTTTTGCTTCGTTTTGTTTTGTTTTACCTGCAACCGAAATATTTTAGTTTTAAAAAGCCTCCACAGTATGGACGGGTGTGTAAAGGGTGGCGTGTGTGGGAACGCGTCAGGTCTTTGCCCCACGGAGGGCTAAGGAGACTTCGCCAGAAGCAATGTGCTCGCGTTCCCTTTCTCCCCTTGTGGGTAATTTTCAGTGTGTGAATTTTGAGAAGCATCTCAGAGCCTTACTGACCTCATCTGTAGGAGGGAATGTTTTCATGTCCTCGTGAAGGTATGGGGTCAGACAGTACGGTGAGCCAATTATCTTTCTAGACAGGTAACTACAGAGAACCCCCTCCCTCCCTCCCTCCCCCTTTCCTCCCCCTCCCCTCCCTCCTTCCTCCCTCCCTCTTCCCTCCTTCCCTCCCTCCTTCCTCCTTCCCTCTTCTCTCCTTCCTCCTTCCCTCCTCCCTCTTCCCCCCCCCTTCCTGTTTTCAGCAAGGGTAGCAATCTAAAATCTAAAATGCCACGGGGGGCCCAGAAGCTGTAAGGAATGCACAGTCACAGGACGGAACGCCAGGTGAATGGGCAGAGCCTGGGAATAACTGGAAAGTGTTTGCTCCACCAGAGACACTCACGTTCAATTTAAAACAAACAGGTAACGAAACAGGACACGACGCAAGCCAGCAAACAAAGCAGCTGCCATCAGCGTATTGCCGTGATGTGCCTTTCAAGGCAGCAAAGTTACATGCACGTCTGTCTCTCCCCCAATCTGTGCCACAAACCGCCCATAGAGCCGTGTTCTCACCCACCTCGGCATTCGTATTTGAGGTCTGAGAAATAGACCATTTCCTGCGAGAACACAAACAGACCCAGCCGCCCGCCGGCATACGTTTGGTCATAGATGGGTCCCGAGTCCGCCATGACCTGTTTTCCTTCATGCACTAAGACTCTGAACACAGGGGTGCGGGGGAAAGAAACAAGGTGTGAATGGCAGAGGGCGGGAGGTCCGTCCTCACGGGGCGCCGCCCCAAGACCCACCCCTCCCCACGACAGGTGCTTCAGCCTCAGCCAGAGGGCTCTCCAGTCCCCACCACCTCGGCCTCCCTCCCCATGGCCTTCAGGTGACATTGAAGCCACGTGCGCCGGGCCCACCCTCTAGGCTGGAGCCTAGGTGGTAGGGAGGGGGCCCCGACCTAATGCCCGGAGCAGGACCCCACGTGCTGACGGCTCCCTGACAAGAGGGCAGCACGTGGGCGAGTAAGCCTCACGTTCAGTGAGTCTGCGCTTCCCCCGTCCTGGCCTCTCGCTGGTGCTGGGGACACTGGGTAGAAGTCGCTGGCACTGGGCCACCCTCACCTTATGTAGCCCGTCTTCGGTCTGTGGGTCAGATGCCACCTGTAAGCAGTGTAGTCTTTCCAGCCAATGTTTTTGGGGTCGTGCCATAACGTGCGCACCTGAGAAAACATCACTCTTGAGCACAGGTGCCGTCTCACAGCACGGACGGGAGTGCCCGTGGCTCACGCGGCCATGAGCCCCGGGAGCGGACCCAAGTCCACCGACAGGGGCCAGCAGGTCAGTGCCACCGGCACAGGTGTCAGAGCCAGAGCCACGGATGCGATTCCGGATCCCCTGCTTCCTCAACATGGGACCTCGGGCAAAACAGTTAGCCTTTGAAAACCCAGTTGTCCTCACCTCTAGAAGACAGTGGAATCACACGTAACTTACAAGAGGATCATCGACCGTGTTTACGGAAACACCAAGACCAGGCATGGCGTCTTTAATCAGGTAGGCGCTCACTACGAGACTGTTAAAATTACTGTCACTTGGGTTACAATTAAGGAAAACACAAAGGTTGGGCATCTTCGGGGCGAGAACGGCTCTCTTGAGCGTGCTCCCGGCGCCTCGCCATCCTCACCTGGCCTTGCGTGTTCCCGGTATGCCAGAGCGCGTTCCTCAGGTGCTCGCCGGTGCCCGTGGTGGAGTTCACCACCTTGAGGGACACGCCCGAGTAGCCGTAAGCCCGAGTGGGCTGCTCTTCCCAGTAGGTCTGGGTGACCTGCTTCCACATGACCACGTAGAAGCGGCTGCTGGACTGGTAGCCGAAGACAAAGCCGGCGTAGTCATCGTCCCGGTCGGTGTTGACGTAGAACGTGCCGCTGAAGTCCACGGACCCGAACTCGTCAAAACCTGGATGTCAAAGGGGACTTTCGGTGGTGAGGTTCAGGCGGGCCCGGCCCCGGAGGACGTGCCCGGGTCGGCCCCGGGACCGGTGGGCGCGGGCGGGAGGCTGGGCTGGGCCCTTGTCTCACACCCACCTCCGCTTCGTGGCTCTGGGGTTAATGAATGTCTGGGATCTAACAACTTCAGACCCCACTTCCTGAGTCTGGCTGACCGTTACTGTATGACACAGTATTTTGTAAATGAAATCCACACATAAGATGGCTTACTGAGCACGACCTCACGGATGCCTGCCTTCCCATTCCCTCGGTCGAGACCATTTGGCAGGCGTGGAAAGACGGGCACCCGAGAGACCACCCTGACCCCACCACGCGGCTCTACAGAGCCTCCCGCGTGCCCCGTGGGCACCCTGCCCCCAGGAACCACGAAGGGCGGTGCGAATCTCGAAGGCTCACCGACAGCGATGCCGGGGTCCGAGTTGGCCGTCTGCACCAGCTCCTTGCCCTGATGGCGAATGACCCAGTTGGGGTCGATCTGAGTGGTGCCCTTCGGGTCCAGGTGGACCATCTGGAAGTTCCTGAAGTCGGTCTCGCTGATGGCGCTGTTCTCAGGACACACGTCATCGATGTCTGGGATGCTGTCGTTGTCAAAGTCGTCTTTGCAAGCGTCCCCACGCCCGTCCCCTGGCGGCGGATAGCCGAGAAAGAGAACACACAGTGGGTGGTTGGCCGTCAGCCTTTCCTTGGTGTTCTGTGGGGCCATGCTCATCTTCCCTACTGCGTGGGGCTGGGGGGCTCCAGGAGCCTGGCGCGGTGCTCAGAGTGTGGACAGCAGGCTCCTGCTCACCCCCGCGGGTGTCCCCCGAGACTAGGCCTCAGGCTGGGGGTGAGGGGGGCTGCACCTCCAGCTTATTCTCTGACAGTTTCCAGAACGTCTCCTGACAACTTTCATCATCACCCTTGCCTGAAATCTATTCGGATTTAAAGCGAAGCTCTTACTCTACCAATGACTTTCCTTGGGGAGGTACAGACTTTTTTCTGGAACCTTCTTCTCAACCTGTCCGGTGGGGTGCGGGCCTGGCAGGCCCCCAGATCACTGGTAGGGGGAGGCGCGGGGGGCCTTGGCCTGTGACCCCCACAGCTGTCCCGTCCAGAGGGTCGGACGGCAGTGTTCTCAGCTATAGCTCATTTCACCAGGAGAACAGACACCAAGTTCGGCTAATTCCCGCCGCCTCCTTCGGGGTCTGCTCGGCTGCTCGCACCTGAGGCCCACGCTCGCGCAGGAGGAGCCGGAAAGCACACCGTGCGCTCAGGGCCGGCCTCTCCCCACCCCGGCCCGTCCCCGGGCTCCCGCGGGTCAGCTTGAGCCGAGCGCTTGCTCCAGGCAGGGTTCCCGACCCCTGCTGGAGTCGCCCGCGTGGCTCTGCCGTGACCCCCGGAGCCGCCCTCAGATCCCGGGTCCCCCACTCGCCTGTGAGTCACGTTGGCTCGGACGCCCACACCCCATCTCCGGTCCCAAAGGCTGGGCGGCCCACACGCGCCGGGGCCCCCGAAGCCACCTTCTCACGGCTCCCCCGGGGCGCCGAATACGGCGTGCACCTCGCCGCCTACTCCACACCCTCCCCGTGGCCCCACTTCCTCAAGACCCTGCCCCCGACGCTGCCCACTGGTTGCGGGCCGCGCGGGGAACCCCGTTCCTTTTCCTGACATTTCACACCCCTTTTTCCTTTGCTTTGTCCTTGAAAGAATAAATCCCCAACCCTCTCTGAGCCCAGATCCCACCTCATCCCGCTCATGACGGGCATGTCTCTGCAGAGACGGCTCATAACTTCTGCGTGGAGCCCGTGGCCTATGGGCTGGCGGGCACGCGCGAAGCTGCTGCACAGGGGCGGGGCACGGATCGCCCGAGAGGGCAGGACACATACTGTCTGAGGAGGCGGGGCGTCTGCCGTCTGATGGGGCGGGGCACGGATCATCGTACGGATCATATCCGAGGGGCACAGATCGCCCAAGGGGAGGGTATGGATCGCCTGAGGGGGGGTACAGATCGTCCGAGGCCGGGATAAGGCTGTCTGGCGGAGGGAATACCGCCGCCTGATGGGGTGTCGATCAACTGGTGGGGCGGCAACAGGATCGGCCCAAGGGGCGGGGCACGGATCGTCCAAGGGGGAGGGGCATGGATTGCCCGAGGGGGCGGGGCACGGATCGCCCGAGGGGCAATTTCTGAGGGGGCGGGGCACGGATCATCCGAGGGGGCGGGGCACCTACCATCGGAGTCCTCCTGGCCAGGGTTGGAGACAAGCCGGCAGTTGTCCCTGTCGTCTGGGACCCCGTCGTTGTCATCATCTGAGTCACAGGCGTCGCCCTGGCCGTCGTGGTCGTGGTCGGCCTGGTTGGCGTTGGGGATGTAGGGGCAGTTGTCTTGGTTGTTCTGGTGGCCATCGTCGTCGATGTCATCATTGTTGTCACACTGGTCTCCCACGAGGTCGTTGTCCATGTCGGTCTGGGGGACAGGGCAGGGAACGGGTGAGCACCTGCCGGGTGGACGGGCGCCAGGCTGGTCGTGGCCACGGACCTTGGGGCTGGGCCGCCCCCTGCTGCAGGCGAGCGGCCGAGTGCGTGACTTGGGCAGCAACCTGCGTGACCCAGCTACATGGACTCGCTTCCCGGAAAGAAGAGGCCGGAGAAGCAAGCGCCTTTGTGATGTCATCTGCAACAGTGTATCCCACATACGACAGCAACACCTTACGTGCTGTGTCTTCCAGAGGCAAGTCTTGGAAGAGAAGCCAGTCCCCACGTTTGTGCCAGGGAAACAGGCAGATAGCGGAGGGCGGGTGCCGGGTCCCCTCAGACAGGGAGGGCCCACGAACGCAGCCATGGCCACCGAGATTGAAGCCCGCTCAATGAAAGTTTTCAATTAAAATTATTGAAAAGCCCACGCTGTCCCTGCGTGGCAGCACTAATGGAAAGCCACAAAGACACGTATATCCACGAACGATTAGGTGCCCCGACGCCCCCTTCTGCTCCACACACCCCCATCAGTCACCTAATCAATTACCTGATCAGGGTTGTGCACCAGGGGACAGTTGTCGCAGTGATCGCCCACGCCATCCCCGTCTGTGTCTCTCTGGTCGGTGTTGTACACGTAGGGACAATTGTCCCGCTCGTTGAAGACGTCTGCAGATGTTCGGGGAAGATGAGTGTGCTAGCTTAGAAAAAGCACAGAGCTTTTCCCGGCACACTAAGTAACTTACAGCCGAACTTCGGTTTCGTAAAAAAGGAGCTAAGAATACAGGAAAGTATAAATATTGTCAGATCGTGAAAGAACGTATGTCATGTTTCCCATTGAACCCAAGATGCCTTAGTTTAAAACAGAGCCACTCTCGGAGGCTTCCGGGTGATTCTGCATGGCAAGGAGCTGTCACCCGTGTTCACACGTGTCACCTCTGAGCTCCCCGTGTCGAGCCCGTAGGAACTGAGCGTGGACATGCTACACAGAGGAGCGTGCCCGCGGCAGAGGCTGGCAGGTGCAATACCTTACTTCAAGAGCCCTGGAAGTGGATAGTGGATCCCAGGACACTGGGGCCGTGAGAAACCTGAATTTACAGCGGCGGCAGCAACCCTGTCCGATGGCACAGCCAACCCTCACGATCGCTGCATCGAGAGGAGCGCGCCAGACGGGCCGAGGCGCCTCTCGCCTGGGCCAGGTGGGGCCTGAGGGAGCAGGGCGGGGGGCAGCGGGAACAGACCCCCAAGAAGGGCTGGCGCGCGCTCCAGCCGCTGCCGAGACAGAGAGAGGCGTGAGTCGGCTCAGCCTGCAGACACCTGGTGGGCGGGCGGCGGGCGACCACTGCTGCTGGCGGATGGGCTCCTTTCCGGGGCACTGGCCTCTCCAGCTAAACGTGGCCTGATGGTGTCCGAGGCTCCTAACAGCCGGGGACGCCCGGGGTGCTTTGCCATGGCCGTGCCGTGAATAGCTGGAAGTAAGGGTGTGGGCAGAAAAAACCCGGGACAGGGCGGCAGACGCGCCTGCCTGCAGTGTGGTTTGGTGAGGACACAGGACCGAACACTTGGGCCTCTGACGGTGACACGGTCACAAGTGCCAACAGGGGACATAAGCGTGAAGGACACAGGGCACAGGACTAGGGGCCTGGGTCACGGAAGGAAGATGCCACATCCATGGTTTCACAAAGGGAGTTCCTGAGGCTGGCGACCCCACCAGCGACCCTGGGAAGGACGGGCCTGGCGAGGCCGGGCTCCCGCGAGAACAGCTTAAGGCACCGTTTACCCTGGCACCGGTCTGCATGTGCGGCTGAGCCTGTGTGGCACCCACGGGACGGAGCGCCAGGCGGCAGACATGCGTCCACGGCAGGGGCAGAACTGACCGTCTCCGTCAATGTCCACGGAGCACGCGTCACCCTCGCCGTTGTTGTCCGTGTCGATCTGCGCCGGGTTGTGCACATACGGGCAGTTGTCACAGCGGTCCCCGACTTCATCTTTGTCATAGTCGAACTGGCGGGGGTTGAAGAGAAGCTGGCAGTTGTCCTGCGGAAAGGCAAGGGAAGAGGTCGGGACACCGCGAGGACATCTGACACCGCGAGGACATCGCTGGGCTGCACGTCACTCACTCCAGGAGGATCGGACGACCCACACGGAGCCAGTCGGCCTCAGCCCCGCGCTTTCCTGCCGTCAAACCGCTTTCTGATTATTTATGCGTCTGCCGCTGAAACGGAGACATTTCATGGCAGAGACGACATAACCATATACGTCACGCTGACAACAGGTCTGCCAGCGTCACGTGAGCGAGTGAGTGAGGGGTTAGTGGGTCAGGAGAGGCAGGTGTGGTGAGGCTGTGCGGAGACAAGCGGCCTAGTCTGTCCCTTCTGTGAATGTGCAGTCACCTGGTGGACAGTTTCCCCACAGGTTTCAGTAAAGGCAAGCACATCACTCATGGTGGGGACAGCGGTGCCCCAGCTGGCACCCACAGGAGGGCAGGCGGTCCCCCTGCACGCAGACGCCCACGGCCAGTCGCGCTGGCCGGTCACCGCACGCTGCACACCGAGTGCGAGATCCCACCGAGTGCGGGGCCCCCGGGACAAAGCTCCCCTCCCTGCCACCCCCACCTTCTCATCGTCCACGCCGTCATTGTCGTCATCATCGTCACAGGCGTCACCGGTGCCGTCCTTGTCAAAGTCTTCTTGCCCGGAATTCGGCAGCAGAGGGCAGTTGTCCTGCAATCAGAGGGCGCACACGAGTCATAACAACACTCAGGGGGGCGGAGGGTAAACCCTCGGGCATGGAGCTGATGGTGCCAGGGTCACGCGCTGTCCTCAGTGGGGGCGAGGCCAGGGACACGCGTGTTTCTCCTCAAGGCTGCCCTGGAGACGCCGCACCGCCGCCCATGCTTCCAGACCAGGGAAGCTCGTGCCCTGTGCCCAGGACCCCGGCGGCCACGGGTGAGCAGAAACCCGAGGAGAGGGAGGGGCTGCCGCTCTGGAAGCCTGGAGGAGGGCCGAACACCCGGAGACCTTTCACGTCCCGACGTCAGAGTCCCATTCTGCACATCCGTGCCCTCCGCCCTCCTCAGCCAACAGGTGCCAGGAGTCAAGCATAGACCTCTGTTCAGAATCCAGGGCATAGAGTCCAAATCATCTCCCCCGTGACCGGCATGATTAGAAAAATCACTTGGCTTCAACGAGCCGAGTTGTAATTCAAACCTGCGTGGCGGTGGGGAAGCGTGTATTTCAGTCGTGTTCACCCTTGGGTCTCAGAAGTTCCAGAGTGGCCTCCAAACAGATCCACAGGGACCTAGGTCCCATCGAGGCACAGCTCCTGGGGCCTGTCTGCAGCCAGTGAAGGGCCGGTGGCCCGGCTCCCCCAGTCTCACGAACGTGGGCGAAACCTGAGTTTCTCCAGCAAGTTCCCTCACTGAGAGCAGAAGCCCAGGTGGAGCGGGGGTGCAGCTGGGAACCACCTCGCACCCCCAGCTCTTCAGAACAACAGATTGTCTGCAAGTGGCCACGGGGGCCCTGAATGGGACTTCCTGGAGCCAGTGGGAGGTGGGATGGGGGGGGAGCGGCGGGGGGAGCAGAGGGTGGAGGGGAGGCTGGAGGTGGAAGTAGGGGGGAGGCAGGAGGCCAGAGGCGGGAGCCCCAGCGCTCACCTTGATGCAGTGGTAGGTGGCATTGGTGGAGCACACCAGGTTCTTGTTGGGCCAGCCGTCCAGGTCCGAGTCCTCCCCGCAGATGAGCCCGTCTCCCGCGTAGCCCGTCTGGCACTCACACTTGTACATGGGGTCGCTGAAGTGTCCCAGGTAGATGCACTCCGCGTGCCTGTGGCAGGCGTGAGTCTTGTCTTTGCACGGGTTCTCAGGCTCACATACCTGCGGGAAGGCGGCCGCGTGGTTAGGACGCACCGAGACCCCACCCCTCACGTGCGGGTCTGAGGCGGACGCTCCGGGACGAGGGCAGGGGTGCAGGCCCCCCCCCCCCGCCCCCCGCCGGGTGCCGCAGGGACCCAGAGCCTCGGAGCTGTGCTCTCTGCTCTCCAGAAGCGATCCTGAGGTCCAAGCCCGCAGGTGACCGTGCGGGGTCGCCAGCATACAGTGTTCACACCGGTCCTCTCGGGCTCCCTGTGGGAAAGTTCAGGTCTGCCCCCGCCAGGCTGATCGGTCAGGGTGGTGGACAGGCTCTGACAGCCCTCCGCCTGCTTCCCAGGAGTCAGCACCCCTTGCCTCCTCGCCCAGGGAGGCCGCCTGGTATTCTCTGACTGCCCCCCAGTGCTCTGGGCTCTTCCCGACTGATCTACGGCCTTTTCCCAGAACACAAGCGGTCAGTTGCTCACCTGCTTCTCCGTCCTGGCCGCCTCCAGGCCGACGCCAAAGGGCTGGGTCCCTTTGTAGCGAGGGGGGCACGGCAGGCAGTGGAAGCCGGGGTTGGTGTTGACGCAGCGCTGGGCTTTGCCCACGGTGAAGCAGACGTCGGTGACCACGGCACACTGCGGGATAAGCGGGGGTGAGCGCCGACCCCGGCTCCGCGGGCACCCCTTCCCCAGGCCGGGCACCCACCTCGTCCAGGTCCTCACAGTGTGTGCCGTTGCCCAGGAAGCCCACGGGGCAGGCGCCGCAGGACCAGGAGCCGTCTGGAAAGCTGCTGCACTCGGCACCGGGGAAGCACGGGTTGGACAAGCAGCCGTCTGCGAAGGACGGCACAGAGCGGGGTCGGCTCGGGCGGGCACACCCGGGAGGCCGCCGGGACACAATCATCTGCGCCCGGGGAGGCGTCTGTCCAGCACCCAGGTTCAGTAAGGGGAAACTGAGTCACTTGGTATATGCTGGCAATGTGCTTGCCCTCCCAGAATTTATCTTTAAATAGTAAAAGACAGGGGGGCCTGGGTGGCTCGGTCGGTTAAGCGTCCGACTTCGGCTCAGGTTACGATCTCACGGCGCGTGAGTTCGAGCCCCGCGTCGGGCTCTGTGCTGACAGCTCGAGGCCTGGAGCCTGCTTCGGATTCTGTGTCTCCCTCTCTCTCTGCCCCTCCCTGATGCACGCTCTGTCTCCCTCTCTCTCAAAAATAAATAAACATAAAAAAATAGTAAAGATAGAGGCTACAGGCGCATAGGCACATGGGTGGCTGATGGGTGATTGTCGTCACGCAGGATGTTCCACAAAACCGTGGAGGAGCACAGGTGTTAAAAGCAGTTGTCCTCATGAGCAGAGAACTAATCTCTCCCTTCTATATTTCCTACTTTTCTCCTTTTTATGTCTTCTATTTTTATGTTTTTAACCAGAATAAAAACACGGTGGCTTCTTCAGAGGGGCTGAAGCGTGCAGACCACAGGGACACAGGCGCTTTCATGTCCCGCCCGCACACCCACCTACAGGACAGCTCCTTTTATTGCACATCTGACGCTCTTGGACGTCCCCCACGCAGTCCTTGCCCCCGTGCTGGGGCTCGGGGCTGTTACAGACGCGCGTCCGCTCCCGGATCCCTCCGGCACAGGTGACCGTGCAGGCTGACCATGGGGACCAGGGGCTCCACCGGCCGTCGACTGAGGGCAGAGAGCACAGAGGGTCAGCGCGGAGCCTGACCTACACGGGGGCTCCCGGGGTAAGAGCCGGGATGGAGCGGGGTCTCCAGACATGGGAGGGAAACTGGAAAGAGCATCCTTTCCTGAACCTGAGCTCGGGGGTGATGCGGACGACAGGTTTCAGCTGGCTTTGTTTTCCCTCAAGTCCCACAGGCCGGGGTCTAGAGGTGGAAAGCTGCCCACACAGGCACACCTGCCAGGTGAGAGGTGCTCGCATCTGTAATGTCCCATGGAGCTCAAGTTCATCTTATTGGACAACTTGGCAGTGAGAGGATCACCCTGCACTCCCCTTGTCCCTGGCTGTCTCTGCACTTCGTGAACGGGGCTTCCGGAACAGGGTCCTGGCACCCCGGGGCCCGGGGCCAGCTGGCTGCAGGCTGCAGGGGGTCGTCTCCCGAGACCCCCTGTTCCATGCTGTCTACCCATCCCCCGGTAAAGGGCATGCGTCACACTGCCCAGGGGTCAGGCTGACTTGTCCCTTAGTTGTGCGTTAGCAGTAATTTAACTGAGCTGGTTCACCATCAGGATGTACCCTCAGGCCAGCTCCGGTAAGGAGCCAGCCAGGGGACAGCACGTCTCTTCTGCCCAGTCCTGCGCTGGGCCCACCCCCCGCCTCCACCCCACTTACTTGGACACGGGGTGCCCTGGCAGCCTTTGGTCTCCCGGCCACTCCCCTTGCAATTCTTGCCCCCCATCTGGGGGACGGGCGAGTTGCAGAGCCGGATGCGGGTGATGTTGCCCGCGCCGCAGGTCACAGAGCAGGAAGACCACGGCGACCAGTGGCTCCAGCCCCCGTCCTGCCGGACTAGCACACAGAGGAACACGGAGACATCAGGGGGAGGCAGGGGCTGGCCGTCCCAGGCGTCTGCTCACGCCCAAGCCGGAGAGCCCGTCCCCGTGATCTGGCCCCGCCCTGCGGACGAGGAGTGGCCTCTGACACTCACTTCGGTGGTCACACTTGCCCAGGCTGCACGCCCGCGTCTGGATGGACGGCCCCAAGCAGGTGTTGCTGGTGACGTCACACGACCGCCCTCTCTGCTGGGTGCCCGACCCGCAGGTGGCGGAGCACTGGGTCCACTCCGCCCAGGGGGACCAGCCCTCCTCGCCGTCCGGTGCTGGTGGGAAACACAAGGGCCTGTCGGGCCTCTGCCCACCCTGCCACGGACGGACCGCCCGTGAAGTGGCCCACGAGGCTGAGTCCGTGCGCTCAGGAGAGCAGGTGTGTCCCCTCCCACGAACAGGGTCCCCGGCGGGGCAGACGCCCACACCTGGGTTGGGACTCAGAGCTGCTCTCCCCAGCAAGACGGAGGGCACGTGGGGATGCCCACGGAGAGTGACGGAAGCCAAGGAGCCTACTGTCCCCGCTCTGCACTGCTCCCTCCCCGCCAGGTGACACGACAAGACCCTGAACTCCGAGGTCGTGGGTGTGGACGGCCTCGGGGTGAAGTGGCCCTGATCCCTCCCCTCCATCCCGCTAAGCCCCTCCACCGCCTGCGGGTCACCGGGAAGACAGCAAACAGGCGGGAGGCGGACGAAGCAGATGGCACCCCCCGCTCCTTGCACACTAACAGTGGAAGCAGGAAGGACAGCATTCTCCCTCCGCGAAGGACGGGTTGGCACAGGTCGCCGGCGGGCAGGTGATTTGGTGGCAAACGGTTTTAAATTTCTGCAAGCAGAGAAAGGTGTCTGTGTGACCCTCGTCTCCAAAAGCAGGCGTCAGGGCAAGGGCGGGTCTCAAGGGCCGAGAGGGCGGCTGTGCCCGTCCCGACGCCGCAGGCCCTGGAAACAGAGGAGGGCCTTCTGCACACCGCGGGCCGGGGGACCAACCTGGTGTGTGCTGCCCGCCCGAGGCCGCCATCGTGAGAACGGGGTGCGTTCGCCAAGGGGAAGAGGCTAAGCTACCCACTGACCTCTGTGTGGGCAGTGACCTGCACCCCCAGGCCCCCCGGAGCGGCCTGAAGCTGCACACGCCCGGCCCCCTCCCGCCTCCCGGGAGACACCAGCCGGACCGGTCACCTCCTGGAGCTTGTCTCTCGTGTGCGACGCGGTGAGGTGGGCTGGAGCCCTACTTACGGTCGGTGCCCCGTGCCCGCCCTCGTATCAGCTGTCCCGGTGCACCTGCGCGCGTTTGCGGCCAGCGGGGGAGACCGGGGAGCCCGCCTCCCTGCCCCGCGCAGAGGTGTCCCCGGCCCTCACCTTGCAGGTGCATTTGGTGCAGCTGTCCACCACCCAGGTTTCATTTTCCGCAAAGAAGCGGCCGTCCTGCCAGCAGGCGGACATGTTCCTGGTCTTGGGCGGGCCGCCGATGAGCTCCCAGAGGACCTGGTTGTCGTTGGACTGGAAGATCGAGGGAAACGTTTACGTGTGGGCGAAAGCAACGTCCTCATCGCGCTCACAGACGGGAGAGGAGGCTCCTCCCTCAAGGAAGGGCGCCCCCGGCCCGTGTAGCACCGCCCGCCGTGCGGCCGGCTCTGCGGGAGGAGAGTCGGGGCCACGTGAGGCCTCGCCACGCGGGGTCACGTCCCAGCGATCCCAGCGGGCGGCCGGCCGCCTGTCACCCTCCAGGGGAGCTCCACTCACGTGGCCGCGTCCCACGGCGTCTGCCCGCCCTCCTCTGAATCCCTACCTCTTCCTCCTGCACACGGTGGGTGCTCAGCGGGAGGCAGTGGGTGCGGGCGGGGGTACTGTTTGAACTCTTGCCCCCATTCCTGCCCCAGGGGCACACACCTGCTGGAAAGTTCCAGAAGAGGCACAGCCTCCTCCTGGTGCTTCCCCACCCGTGCGTCCTGGCCGTGCCCATTCTCCCGACCGCCCACGGAGCGGGGGTGATCGGGTCCCACCCCATCCCCGGCCCCTTGACGTAGAGCAGAGGGTGGGGACGGCTGCCCGCCGAGCGGCTGTGCGACGTCACCAGGGCGTGAGGCGACCCCAGACCTGCAGACCTTCCCGGCCACTCTTCCCCGCTGCCCCTGTCACTTCTGTTAGGCACCATGTGTTCCCGTCCCCTGGGCCCAGCTGAGGGCCTGTCTAGGGTCACGCAGCTAGGAGAACATGGCTCCCGTCAGTGCCCTTTTCTAAACCTGAAGGGACCCAAGACGGTGTTTTCCTTCTGACGTCCCCTTACGTCCCGGACCTGCGGCCAGTCCTCCCACACCCATCCTGTTCAGGCTCGGGGACACGAGCGGCCCCCGGGTAAGAGCCATCCTGGAGGACGTGGAGCCACAGGTATCTGTCGTTCAGGGTCCTCTGCCCTACCACCTGCCCTCCGCTGCCCTGCGCTCGGGCCAAGCGCCTTGTCAGTGCGTCAGAGGGGGCTTGCGGGTGAGGTCGCGCCTGTGTGGCAGGAAGCAGCCGCCAGGCACCCACCACTTTCCGCAGGTTCTCGTGAAGCTGGTTCACGATGACGTGCAGCCCCGACAGCTCGGTGATCATGGTGCCCAGCTCCTCGCAGGAGCGTTCGCACACCTCCGGCCTCCTGTGCGCGCCTGGGCCCGCGTACTCCGTGGCCACCTGAGGGCTCAGGTGCAGTGTCTCCGTGTTCTCGCTGATGGCGTTGGCTTCGGCTGCGGGAAGCAGTGGGTGCAGTGAGCACGGGGGAGAGCGGCCGCGCAGACGTGGGCTTGGGGACGGAACGAAAGAGGGAAACACGGGGGCTGGGGCTCTGCGCCCACATGTGACTCAGGCAGAGGAGAGGTGACCACCTCCTTTGCTGACAGCCGTCCCTGTGCCCCGGAGCCCGCTCCCCAGCACGTGTCCCCGCAGCTCCTCGCTCACCCTGTTTTCTATCCAAACACCCTTTGTTTTGGCCACTTGCTCCGCATCAAGACGGATGCAGCCGGCGGTCTTCATGCCAAGAAGTGTCCACCAGACCTCACCTGCCTCTCCCTCATTCCCGTGTCCTCTGGAGGGAAGGGCAGACGCCCTCAGAAGCGCGACCTTGGGGACTCGCCCTCGCTGCCCCTGAAACCGCACAAACCCCCTGGGGCTCTCACAGGGGACGTACGTGGCCAGGACACAAACAGCAAACTACTTGGGCCGGTCCGGAGACAGGCGTCATCCCCCGAGGGAGCCAGGCCGGCCCAGCCATGCCCCCAGCCCTCCAGTCACTGTCACAGGAGTGAAATGCCCTGTTGCTCTCAGCATCTCGCTACTGAGTTACACCTTCTGGAAGCTACCGATCTGCCAGGACTGCTGCTGGGGACTTACTACTTGGTCAGGAATCCTTGCCGCAATCACTCTGACCTCGGGAGTTCCCCTGGCTCGCTGCATGGAAAAGGGCACAGACCACACGGACATAAATGCGTCAGTCACTGCCCATAGGTATCAGATGGGAAACGGTCCCGCACCCACAGATGTGCCCCGGGGCCTGATTTCAGACAGACCCAGAGCAGGACAGGACAGCACACAGTCAGGGCGTCCACTCCCCCTGATGAAAGGCCTGGCAGGGTCGCCCGGGGGCAGAGCTGGGACCGGGACCGGGGTGCCCTTCCCCCCCTCAAGGGTGAAATGTCCCCCCCTGCCCACAGAGCAGACCACCAGGCATGATGCTCAGCTTTTACGTAAACACAAGCACAGTCCGTCCGTCAGGGTCCCGAGAGCCGCTCTCTGCCTCCGTGTTGTTGAGCCTTCCCGGAGGGGTTAGTGTCCTATGTCTGTTCACTATCTTAGCCCCTCCTGAAACTTTTGCTTTTTAATGACCACTTCCTCCCCCAAGAAAGTCAGCGGCTAAAATCACAGGGGCCAATAGTTTGCACGTTAGCCAAGCTGCAGACACGGGGTGAGGTCTGAGCCACAGCGGCTGCGGCAAACGAGGGGCCGGTCACAGGAGCCGTTACAAATGCCCCTTCACGCCACAGTCCGGCCAAAACGCGCTGTTCTAATCCTCACCTGCCCTGAATTTCCACTGAGTGAGTGTGGAAGATCTGCAGAGGGACAGAGGACAGGGCAGAGGGACAGGGGATAGGACAGAAGGACAGGGGATAGCCTCAGACAAAGATGAGGCCTCCGTGGGGGACCCTCAGCCGCCAGCCAGATGCAGGCTGAGGAACAGAGCGGGCATCCCCGCGCCTAAGATGGGGGAGGGACAGCTCCCAGCTCTAGGGGGGTGCGGGTCCCAGAGCCGCACCTGTGCGTTACAGACATCACATCCTATGTATTCCTGACACGCTGATCATGAGAAAACGATTTATCTTTGTCATAATTTACAGTTGACATGAGGAAGGGGCCTCAGTGCAAATAAATCACAACGTGAACCATATTGGGAGACTCTCAGCCCAGGTGGGCACACAGGTGGTCACACACGGCAGCGGTGGGACCCCCGGGCCTCTGCTTCTTTATGGTAAAATGAACGAGCCTGTCTCTAAGGTGTTTTGAAGATTCAGTGACACACTGAGTTTAAAGAGCCCAGCAGAGTGAACTTCATAAATTAAATGCTCAAGAAAATGTAGGCAATTATGGCTGGAGGTAAATTCAAAGTGCGATTAGCATTCAATGCAGGATTATCTGTCAATGGTTCAGGCAGCGAAAATGTTTCCAGAATAGGGCTGTGTCAACAGCTGTGAAGAGTGAAGAAAACCTCCATCAACGTAGCCAACAGATACCCATGCCGTTATCCAGAGAGATGATCGTCACCCATTAACAGACAGGAAAATTTGCGGGTAATCATGTTAAAATGCAGAGATTGGTCTTTTGGTTTATGAAATGGATTATTTTGTATTATTAAAATATATTCAAAATTACTCTTTCAAGCAGTTTATCATTTTTAGATGTCAGCGTGTCCGAGTTGACCAGCTAACTCCTTCAGAGACAATAATGGCACTTTATTACAATATTTTTTCTTAAATCCCCACTAGCCCCCCAACACACATGCACACACACGCACACGGGCACGCAAATGCATGTACAGGCGCACTCACCCACGCGCGGATACACGCACTCACACACGTGCACATACACACTCCCGTCGTAGCAGAAATCCATCCAAGACGAGAAATGAGATGTGAAATACACTGTTCAAAACACACCTACCTCCCTGACTTTGCTGACAACCTTTCTTGCTTAGAACATCTTCCACTGAGTTTTCGAACACTAAGTAGACGTTCTGCAGCAAACCCTGGAATGCACGTGAGGAGACAAATAGAGCAACAGATACACATCAAACGATGCCAAGCTAAATGACGTTTTAAAAACACAAGATGTAATCTTATTCCTGTGCCGCTACACGCAGCAGGCTGGAACTCTCTTTATCGTGGGTCAGTCTGGTGTCTGGCTGACGGGCTCGGAAAGGCACACGGTCCCGGACGTGGACACTCGGTCTCAAAGGTGAGCGTCTGTGCTCCCACGGCAGGGCCACGGGGGCTTCCTGACGGCCACCAGAAGTCAGTTCAACAACTGGGTAAGGATGCTAGCCTCGGGCTCAACTGAATTTAAACGAACGATCGTTTCCCCAGAAGACACACGATGATGTGCCAACACTGCGCTGTAGGTTCTAAACCCGTGTGGTTTTAGAAAGATCTTCCAAAAACTATTTTAACATGAACATATTTTAAGATGAACATGGAATTTTTCCCTCATAAACCAACAGCCCTCTCCTTGAAAAGCATGGCTCTTACTCTGCTCTCCTCGCCTCTCAGTGCTAAACGGGGACTCTGGAGATTACCAGAACATTCCAAGGGAGCCAATTCCTTGGCCATCAAATCCGTCTTCGGCCGGAAAAATGACGGCCGTTTGCCCAGGTAAAAAGCACACCGGGACCACGTGCCCTGCTTATTTGTGGTTTAGAAAGGGGTGTGTGCTCTGTGCGTGCATGTGTGTGCGTGTGCGTGTGCGTGTGTTGTCCATGTGAGTGTGGGTGTGCACACATGTGCATGAGTACGGTGTTTGTGCACACATGCGTGTGATTGGGTGTGTCAGTGCGTGCACCTCTGTGTGTGCTCTGTGTGTGCGTGTGCACGTGTGCGGTGTTGTCTGTGTGGGTGCGTGTACACATGTACACTGTGTGCACATGGGTGCCATTGGGTGGGTGGGTGTGTGCACATGCGTGTGATTGGGTGTGGGCGTGTGTATCCATGTGGGTGCGTTTGTGTGCACGCGTGTGTGTGTGCACGTCTGTGTGCCTGCACGTGGCGGGAGCCCACGTATGTCTGCATGGTGCGTGTCTCCCGGGCCTGACCTCTTCCAACACGGCATCACGTTAAGAGATGCCCTCGCCGCTCGGCCCCCAGCAGAGCCCGTCCCCGTGCCTCGTGCCGCGGCCGCGACCCTGCTGTACGTACCCGGAAGTGATTGTCTCGAGCAGAGCCTTTGGCCACGTACATCCTGCTCTTTTCTGTCCGCAGCTGCTCGTAGAAAGGCTCATCCAGCGTGAAACTGTCGATCAGGTCGCAGCCCACGTACAAGCTGTAGGTCTCCCCTGTCACCTGCACGGTGATGTTCTTCCACTGGGAGTCAGCCAGGCCCACGTCCTCCAGGGAGATAACGTGCTGAGCGCCGTCTATCCAGTAGGTGAGGTCCAGCGTGTCGGCCGGGCCGTTGGACACGATCTCGAACTGCCTCTGGGAGGCGCCGGGGCCCTCCAGAGCCAGGAGCGTGCCCCGGGACTTGGGGTCCTGCTTCAGGCTGGCCGTGAGAAAGAAGCCCTCTTTCTGCCTCACGATCTTGGCAATCTTGCTGAGGTAATCTGCACTCACGGGTGGGATGTAGTCAAAGCGGACAAAACGATACGCTGGCACGTTGGGGTCAGGCCCCCGGAACTGCTTGGCCCCAATGGTCTTCCGGTTTATGTTGCTGATGCTGAAAAGGTTGAAGGCGGTGTCCTCGTCCTGGTCACCAGCTGCCCGTGGGGACAGAGCAGGGAGGTTACCGCGGGCACAAACCCGGAGGGGCCTTTTTACACACGGGGCAGCAGACCCTGATCCCAGGGGGTGTCCCCTTTCTGCTGGGTGCTAATGGCACCGTTACCCTCTCTCTCCCCGGGCCGCTACCCACAGTGGGGCCCCGGAGGCAGCTGCTGCTCGTCCGTGACCGTTCGGGAGCGAGCCGGCGCCAGAAGGCTGTGTCCGGATCAGCCCGCACTCCGCAGCCAGGCCTCCTGTGAGGGAGGCAGCGCTGCCCTGAGCTGGGCCCTGGTGCACCTTCCGGAACCCGTCCCGCACCGGGCTCTCTCCTGCTCTCCCACCCAGATCTGAGGCTTAGGCACAGCCCTGCTTCTACCATTTGATTGCCCAGAAAAAATTCCTGCAGAAGAAATGCGTCTTTGTCCTTGCTATCCACGCTCTCAACGTCGCTCTCTTATGGAGACCACCTGACTCCCACAAGTTACACTGGTGTCTCCATTTTGCGGAAGTTTATCCACAACCCCGCTGAGCACCTGGGGAAGGCTCTGAGACAGCGGGAGTCTCAAGCCTGCGAGTAAAGGGCTTTAAGTCACCATCTGGATGACCGGACCTTCCCAAAATGTAACAGGGTAGATGATTCAACGCAATTCACTGAGCAGGAGGTTCAAACGAAGCATGGCTTTTCATCCCCTGTGTGGCGAATCAAAGCACGAGCTTCAGAGCTGCTTACAGAGGTGTCAGCCGGCCACCTCCTTGGCAGAGCCGCTGGGCAATCCGCCAAAAATGCTTAAACAGTTAACAGCTCTGACTCAGCAACGTTCCTTTTGGAACTTGTCCTGGGATATAATCTCAAATACCGGGAGAGACGCAGTCACAGCTGGGTTCCCTGTGGCGTCTCTTACACTGGCGACACTGGAGTAATGCTGTACCTGGAGACTGGTCTAAACAACAGCACGATCTATCTTTGGACGGAATATCATCCAGTCATTAAAGGCCGTGTTGTGTGAAAATAAGCACACGGAAAAACACTGATGTTGCATTTTCAAGTAGGAAAAAAAGTAGGAAGAAAAGAAGTTATAGAACACCAAGCCCTTCCAGTGTTAGAAACTTAGCGTGTAAAAATGTAAAAGCTGACTGTGCATGGCCAGTGTTGTGTCACCAGACGAAAGAGTGTGTTTCTCTAATACCTAGACTTTCCAAAAAGAGATAATTTCCTACTGGGGCACCTGAGTGGCTCAGTCATTTGAGTGCCTGACTCTTGATTTTGGCTCGGGTGGTGACCTCGTGGTTCGTGAGATCGAGCCCTGCATCAGGCTCCATGCTGTCAGTGCAGAGCTTGCCTGGGATTCTCTCTCCCTCTCTCTCTGCTCCTCCCCACCCCACTCATGCACATGCACTCTCTAAATTAATTAATTAACTAACAAACTTAAGCAAAGATTTAAAAATAAGAAATAACTTCCTCCTACGTGGACTCAGAAATAAGTAAATGTTTATTTAAAAGGAAGTTCTGAATGTTCTACCCTGGTAGGAACCTCAGCCACAGCCTTACCTGCCGGGGCGCGAGCAGCCCCGACAAGCAGAGCCTCTGTCCACACTCACCTCGCGCGCCGGACGCGGCCCAGAGGGCGAGCAGGACCAGATCCCAGAGCATCCTGCTTCGGCGGAGGAACCCTGCGGACAAGCCAGGCCCTGGTTACGCAGGCGCACAACACGCACGGCAGTGATTTCCAGTGTCGACCGCAGTCTTCACTCACACGAATGTTTACGCGGTTTGTGCGTCGAAACCAGCAGTAAGTGCATTTGTGGGAAGTAAAAGCCGGGTAAGAAATGGGCCTTTCAAGTGGGGCTCTTCCGGCTCGAGCTCCTATCATTGGACGAGCATTTGTTGACAAAGCAGGGCGTGATCACATTCCCAATATTCACATTATCTGATCTCACGACGACCAGAGAGGCAAATACTATTGTTATCATCCCCATTTTGCGGATGGGTAAGTGAAGGACCGGAAAAGTTAAGCGCTGGCCCAGAGCAAGGCCGCTGGTGAGCGTGGCCAGGCCTGAAACCCAGGAAGTGTGAACTTAGAAAAATGCCGGCACCATAGAGACAATAATCTATGAAGCACCGTTGAGCAGATGGCCAAGAAGAAAAAAGTCAGGCCTAACTTAGAATAAACCTTAACTGTACGCAGGAGAAATAAACTGAACTCGGTGTGTCCCAACCACAGAAAAACATAGCATTCTACTTAGCAATCACTTTTACTCGGCTGTTCTATTTTCCTGCAGGCCTGTTTTTCCATTCTTGAGGATTTTCAGTTGGCATGGTTCAGGCCAGCAGACGCTGGGCCGGGAGTCAGGAGACCTGGACGGAAGCCCGCTCCACCGTTAACCCCTGCCCCGCCTCGGGACTCCCGTGCCAGCATCTCGCAGGGGCGCGCGGGGCACGGAGCTCCCTCCCAGCGGTGGGCGGCATCCGGCTCTGAACCGAAGCCAAAGCGAGACCCCGGCCCGGCTCTCAGATGGCGGCAAAGCTCGTTAGCACCTCGGGGTCGCAGAAATCCTAAGGAGTGCCCCCCGCCCCCCAGAAGCATCTGGTAAACTGGAAACAGTCATCCTCCTGGGCTGGAGGAATGTTCCCCAGGAGAAGAGGCCACTCTGCAGGCCCCTGGGATCCCTCCGGAGTCCGGCTCCCGCCGCTCACAACCTCCTCGCAAACAAGTCGGGGCGCCGCTGGTTCTCACGTGGCCCCGGCGAGCGGCCGGCCCCGACGGTCAAGCCCTCGCGGCCCAACCTCCCTGCCTCAGTTTCCTCACCTGCAGAATGAGGAATAGTTGTGTAAATCCCGTGCCAGACAAGGTCACCGCGAGAAATGAGTTCGGCGAGTTAACACTGTAGAGGCTCACGCGGCACGGTGGGCGCAGAGGCATCTGCTGAACGTGCTGCGTGGCTGCCCCCTGGACCGCTTTTCCCGCGGCTCTCCGGGGGGCAGCCGTGCCGCTAATAGGTTCCTCAACGGACTGAGCCACACGCGTCAACACCCGGGTGCTCAGAGCCACACCTGGCGCTCAGTGAGAGCCGCGTTCGTGCTTTAGGAGGAAACTGGGCCAGCACCTCCGGAACGCCTCCCCTGTGTCCCCTCGACCAGATGCGTGCCGTCTGTCCCCGCAGAGGGGACAGCTGGCTCTGGCAAACCGGGCTCCATCCAAAATGTGCTTTTTCAAGTCCTGGGGGCCCAGCTTCCCAAGTGTCAGCTACACAGCGTAAACGGAACTCCGTTCCAACAAAATCAAACCCTCTGCCCCCTGAAAGCCGAGCGTCTCTGGGTATGCACGCTCTGCCGTCGGTCACATGAGTGAGAGGGACCCACGCTGTCCAGTGGGGGCGCGACGGCGGCGAGGGCACAGCGGGACCAGGAATCCCTGGGCCAGCCGTTCCGTGCCCACGGCTGGTCCACGGCAGCACCCGGGCCGTGTCACATCCTAGGACACGCAGTCAGGCACCCGGACACACACTCACAGTGTGTCTGTGGCTCCATCTTCTCCAGAGGCTTTCTGCAGCAGAATGTGATTAGAACTCACACAGACGTGTTCACACCCGTTTGTACGAGCGATCCGAGCAACGGTCACCACCGGGAGGTGTGCGGTCCCTCCCTCGAGAGGGGCTCGGTCACGCGGGAGCCTCCTGCCCCCCGTGGCTCAGCAGCGCCTTCTGGTGCCGCCCGGGCCTCTCCTGGTGCTGATCGTCCCCCGCTTGTAGCCACAGCCGGGCGGGGGTCCCCGGGCTCCTCACACACCCACAGTGTATGCTGCTCCTCCCTGATACTCAAGCACACTTTCACTGTCAGAGACGCTTAGAATTGCAGTGTCTGTAACCTCTCTGGTGACCGTTTTCACTTTTTCGGGAGGACTTTCTCTAACGCCCTCCTCGGGGTCCCCCCATCAATGACAAAGACACAAGCGTGCGCCCCGGCTCACGGGCAGGTACGCTCGCGGAAGGCACCAGGACCGTGGGACCAGACCACCTCCGAGGGAGCTCGCGGCGCGGCCGCTGCGGACGCGATGCTTCCAAGTGTGAAGACGCTTTAACGGTCAAGCTTCACCTTACAGCATAGATCAGTTTTCACTTTTCCTTCTCCCTCCTCAGAAACCAAAACAGCCTTTTCTGAAAATTAAAGTACAACGCAATGGCTGTCTAATAACTTTTACAAGGTAAATCTTTTATACAGTTCTTACCTGGGACGTCGAACGGCTGTGGCGAGGGCTGACTGGGTGCCGGGGATGGAGCCCGGAGGACCAGGTCCACGGCGTGCGGAGCGGGGGTCAGCAGCCTCCTCTTTATATGCTCCGGTCTCCTGGGTGGTGCTGTCAGTCAGACCCGGGAGGAAGCGCGTTCAATCCATCCTTCGAAGGAGTGACATAATCCCCCTCCGATCTCGCATTCGCTCCGAGCACCTGGCACACGGGTGCTGGGCTGCCCGCTCCCGCCGGCCCCTCCAGCTGGGGGACGGCAGAGGCGGAGCCACGGGAGAGGGGAAGGCAGGCAGGCGCTGGCTTTTCCTGTCTTCTCTCAGGAAATAAAACGCTATAAATACAACCAGCGAGGTTGGCTGCAACTCCCCTTTTCGGCTTCAGAGACAGAATGCAAGTTCCAGGGTTTAAACAAGTTTCACACCGGCCAGGCTGAGAAGGTCTTTCCAAAGCAGACAAGTCACGACCGAGAAGACGCAAAGCATACGCCGCCGGGGTCGATGTGCTGAGGAAGTTATTCTGTGGCTGAATTAATTTATCATGTGCAGAATAAATATTTAACCTAAAGGGAAATCGGGAAATGTTACTTTCTGCAGTTAGATGACTAAGAAATAGGACAGAGAGGATCCACATCCCACATCGTGTGCTGGCTGCACCCCCAGGAGGCCTCCCCTGCAGGGGCCCCGGACGGGGCCACGTCCGGCCGCCGCTTCGTCCCCAGTGGCAAAGACAACCCATCATCAGCTTCCGTGGGCTCAGCTAATGGGACAGCCTGCAGAATAAAGACTTGAGAATCCCAACAGTGGTAGCAGTCGGACACCCTGCCCTCCCCAGAGCTCACCATCTCCTGGGCCGGTGTGGACAGTGGTCAGAGGAAGGAGGTGGTGGACAGAGGGAGGAGGTGGACAGAGGGAGGAGGAGGTAGACAGAGCAAGCAGGTAGACAGAGGGAGGAGGTGGACAGAGGGAGGAGGAGGCAGAGGGAGGAGGTAGACAGAGGGAGGAGGAGGAGGTGGACAGAGGGAGGAGGTGGACAGAGGGAAGAGGAGTTAGACAGAGGGAGGAGGTAGAC